ATTGCACTATCACAGCTGCTTTCTCCGAGGTCTCTCAAAGCAAACAGGGGGAATGCACAAGATATTTAACTTGCACAGGTAATTTATGTCTCGTATTTCTGAGATGCTTGGCTTACTATTTAACAATTTAATACATTATCTTTTTTAAAAAATTATTATAGGATAGCAGTTTGCATAATAAAAGCATACACATGAGGCTGGGAAGCAGTTAGCTGAATAGCCGCCCTGCTGAAAAGGACATGGCTTACAGTGGATGCCAAGTTGAGCGTGGGCCAAGAGAGTGTTCTCATTGCAAATAAGGCAAGCCAGAGTCTGGGCTCTATCAGGAAGTATGTGGCCAACAAATCAAGGGACGCACTTTTCCCCTGGTACGTGACCCTGCTGAGGCAGCATGTCCAATATTGCTGTCCAGCTTTGGGCCTCTCGGTCAACAAGGAGGTTGAAAACCTGTAGAGGCTCCAGTGAAGGGCTCCCAAGGTGGTCAGGGAGCTCAAGCGCATGTCCCCTGGAACAAAGGTGGAAGGAGTGGGATTTAGTCTGTGGAGGAGAAGGCTGTGCGGTGACCTAATAACCACCTCATATTATCTGCAGAACAAAGACAGAGCCAAACTCCGTATGATAGTTGCAGATAATGGGGCAGGGGCAATGGCCACAAACTCTAGCTTGGGAGCCTCAGGCCAGGCAGCAGGACAAACTGTTTAACTACGAGGGCAGTGCAGCACTGGAATAGGTTACCCTGAGAGGTCATGTAACTGCCACCCTGGGAGGTTTTCAAGCTTCATCAGACAGAGCCCCGGCTGCCCTGAGTACTGGTGCCAGTCCTGCTGCAAGTGGGAGGCTGGGCTACATCTCCAGAGGGCCTTGCGAACAATACTTCTGTGATACTCTGACCTATTGAGAGATGGAGAACCCACAAAAACCTGGGGCAGAAAAAACCCAGTGTGGTGCAGACAACCACCCACACGGAACATCCCGTTTTGCTTTCAGGAATTCATTCCCCACCGCTGCAGTGCTCCCAGGCTGGGCTGGAGGCCCCACAGCACCCCAGGTGCTCCGGCAGCAGCAGGGAGCATGAAGGAGAGATGACAAAGTGTGCACAAGTGGCAGAGGTGCCAGGCTCTGGGTATGCAGCTCTGCTGCTCCCAACCTGCATGCCATGCTGCATGTGGACTCGCCTCTGCTAGCTCAGCTATTTCCGAATCTTGTTTCTCAGCATGATCTGAGCAAACCCCAAGTGTCGTTTCTTTCAGAAAAAAATGTTACAATAACTCCATCCAACGAGGCTTACTCATTTCCTCTTCCCCATCTCTTACTACCTTCTTACCACAAAAAGTCCTATTATAATACACAGGCTTATCTTACCAACTTGCTCAACAGCCCCACAAAGCTGAAAGTTCAGCAGAGACTAAAGATGACACTCAGACCAGAAAACACACACTTGCATTTTTACATCACATCATTAGTTATCAGAGGTGTCCTAGTAAGCAGCCATCCGATCCTAGCTGAGGGAGAATTAACACCGAGAAAAAGGAGTACCCTTCCAGTCCTTGTGTGCTAACCAGGCAGCAGATCCCCCAATCATTACTTAGTGTAAATTGCGTCTGCCCTTGCCTACCAAGTGGTAACATTTTTCTAGCATGAAAAATTTTGAAGGAAAAATTGCCTGAGCCATCTTACTCATAGTTTCCATTTCAGTAACTTTTAACACCAAAATTACTCTGCAGATCAGAGATTGTCTACTAAACTAGAAAAGAGAACAAAAAACGTGCTCTGAAGTAATGCTTGTGTATCAAGTCACCCACATGAGTAATTATATTGCAAGTTTTTTACATTTGCCTTTGTTTTTTTCTCTTTTGATTCTGGCAACACGTTAAGCATTTAGCATCTTTTTTAAGCTACGGCTGAGTTTCCGTAGCAATTGATTCATCACTGAATCTTCCTGCCGCTCCCAGTACTGGCAGAAAGACAAACTAAGGCAAGAGTCCCATCCAAATTAATTGCTGGCCGAGTCCTGATTGCAGCCGACTCCCTACAACAGCTAGCTCCGGAGAGGCCCGCGGCTCTGGAGGAGACAGCTCGTGCCTCTGTCACCGAGCAGAGCTGCACAAGACTAATTGCTAATCTGCTATTAAGATAGAGGCCTCCTCACCCCCTCCGCCTACGGTGAGGTGAACTGTGTGCGCGAGAGGCGCTGCTCTAACTTCACCACAGCTGGTTTGTTAACACCGGAGTTACAAAGCTGCTCTTCTGAATTTCCGCTTTCCTCTCGGCGGCTTTTTCTGACATCCTGGAGCTCTCCCCGTCCTCTGCAACACTTCAGGCTGAGGTGGCTCCAGCCATTCTTACTCCTGCCTTACTAGTTCACAAGTACAGTATATGCACACTTCTTCCCTTGGGAGAGTCCAGCCCCTGGCAGTCAAACCTCTGCAGAGGGATTAAAGTACCTCTTGTCTCTCTGTAACTCAGTTTGATTTCTTGTGGCTTAGTTTGAGGTTGCATTTTTAGAAAGCACTAGCATAGTTTTCCAAAAGGTCATGAACAAGGAAGCCTCTGAATGACGACTTCATTGCCTGTTTCTAGTAAAAAAAATGGTCAAGTGTTGTCAGAGATTTAAAAAAAACAAAACCAACTAGTGGCTTACACAATGAAGAATTTTCTTTAATGCAAGTGGCAAGGACTGCACCTGGCATCGCCAGAACACGGATTTAATTCCTTCTGCCATCAGAAGAATTGGGCAGAATTTCTAAAAATGTCATCTCTGATCAAGAATTATTCTGCAGTAGGCATGGAAAGGAACTCACATACAGGTGCCACTTTGGTTGAACTCCTGCATGCACACCGCAGCATTGCCGAGCGCTCCCCATGCAGCGCGGCACGCTAGAACGGCTGGCACTTGACAGTGGAGCCAGGTTCAGGGACAGGGATCTTTTAAGCACCCAGAACAAAAGCCAGGCCCCAGTGTCTCACACGTAGGAGTCCGTTTGTAAAGTCCATTTACTCTCAGAGCGCCCAGGGCACAGCCCCTTGCCAATACCACAGCATGTCAGGTCAGCACCTCCATTTACACTGTGTGTATCCCAGCAAAGGCAGAAATACAACTGGAGTATGTTTTTGTTTTGTTTCTAAATGGGAACTTCCTCCCAAGACACCCAGCACAGACCTGCCTTGAGTCTGTGGCTAAGCACGCATGGCCCCATCCTACAACCCGTGGTGAGATGAGAGATGTCAGCAGCTTCAGCAGCCAGGGCTGCAAGGAGAGTTCCACCAGCAGCGACCGTGCTGATGCTGCTGCCAATAGCCTCACAGACACCACCTGCCACGCTCCTGCTGCTACCAAACCGGCCCCAAAGCTCTCCAGGTTTGTACTCCATTAGAAACCCCCCCTCAATTAGAAAAAGCAAACCCAGTTTGTACTCCATGAGGAAAGGATTCCCAAACACGAACCCAAACCCCACGTTGCATGTCACAGCATGCTCTAACACGGGTGCTTTTCCCCATGTAAACAAGTCCTTGTAAGCTGCAAGAAGTTCCTCAACATCACGGCTCAGCCCTCTCATGGCAGTAACGTACAGCTGTGCTTTCCTCACACTGCCATAGCCATCAGCTACATCTTCTATCACCCTTTTTTAAACACAAACTGCAAATTAACATGTTTTAATATTAGTGATTTTCTAGCTAATGGCTTTTCTATACAAGCCATTTTCACAGGGCAAAATAAATCCCTTCTGTAGGACTAATGAGGGCCAAGGTAACTGGAGAGAACGTCTCTCCTTTGCAGGCACGCCCAGGCTGAAGGCACAACCTCCTGCAAGGGCTGCTCTCTGCTCTGCCGAGCACAGCAGGCAAGTCCTGTCCCTCCTGCACCCCCCGGGACCTACGGGTGCTCAGCGGGGCTCACAGTGATGGTGAACCTTTTTTGAATGCCGTACCTCAGAATGCAGGCAGCTGAACTCATCAAACCAGCTGCTCCCATACAGGAGTATTTCAGTAGAAACAGATACTCCTTTTCCAAGTGTAAGACAGGTGAAGCACTTCCTCTCTTGTGTGGCTTTTTCTAACACCATACATTGATGAATTTAAAACAAAACATCCCAGACTTTTGAATTAAAATACAAGCTTTACAACCACATAGTAAGTGTAAGCTCTTATATTTCAGTTTAAGACTATATAATTTTATAGAGTACCAAAATAAGCAAAGGATCAGCACTCCATACAAAGTGTTAGTTCTTGTGAAGAGGGTAGAGGGGAGATGGACTTTAATTACACTAAACTTTTTTTGCAAGTCTAAAGAAAATTCCATTTCAGCAAAACAGACTTGGGTTTAGATTCCCCACATTTCTAGTTCGCAAAGTGTTTCTTTAAAGACAATTTACATTTTTTCTCATTCAAAGTAAAGGGATGACTTAAAGCAATATTAACAAGGAGGCGGTGCCGTTAATGTTTAATGTCAATACGCTATAAAGGCTAGAAGAGCAACACAACTTTATCTTTACTTCTGAAGACTATTAGAAATCGACTAACATTTGAGAAAAGGTTCAAGCACGCTAAACCAACTCTAGGTCCAGGCTGCTGGTAAGCCTCTGCTGCCTGCACACTGCCGCCAGGAACGTGGCAGGCAAATCCCAACGCTGGCAGTGACGTGTGCTTTCACACGTATACCGCACGTCCCACCGACGATGGCTAGGTCTCTCCCCTGCCTTATGGCATTAAAATGCAAGGGAATTATTAGCTAACATTGCAACTACAATTTTACAAAAGCGTAAATCGGAACGTAACAGCGGTTAAACCAAATTGAAGCGCTCTGTCCAACTCCAGGATTCCTTCTCCGTGACAAGCCTCCTGGTCCCACTCCCTGTCCAGTTTCTTCCCCCGCTCCTTTCCTAATGGCTATTTTACAATAAATAGGTTAACTGGATTTACACGATGCAAGCGCAACTCAAGACTTCTGCCCTATACATATAACCACGTTAAATTGTGAGATTATACACGTGCCGTATCTCTAACAGAGCAACCACCGGATTAGATCTTTTAAAGAAACACAAGTATTTCAGCATGTACAAAGTAATGAGTTTAAAACTGTCCAACATCATCGCTTTCAGACATTCTCTTCCTCTTTATAGCCTTAAAGGGATTTTAGACCTTGATGGCGACAATCCCAAAACAAGAGTAAAATGAATTTATTTTATTGCAAACAAACGTCTATAGTTAAATTTCTCCACCCACTTTCTTTAAAGAGAAAAGGAATCAGCAGGCTAAGGAGATACACCCATTTGAGTATTGACATGATTAAAAATTAGATATAAAATGGGTGACTCACAGTTTCATTAGCTTACAAAATGGTGGAGTAACTACTACAAGCACACTAGGTATACAGTATTTTGTGGGGAATTATACAGACACACAGCTAACTTCATATAGATCCCATTAGACAACTGGATTTACAACAAGTTTTGTTTAATAAGAAATGGGCAAAGCCAGCTTCTTTTCAGAATCAAAATGCAGAACAAATGGAAAAGAAATTATGGTGTTGTACCTTCACAAGTTTGAGCCTCCACAAATAATGCAACCAAGTTTTACAACTTTAAGAGCTTCTACATACACTCCACCTTCACTATTTAGCCCCAGGTTTCCTCTTTGCCCCCAACATCCAAATGTTCCAAGTGTTACAAAAAAGTCCTAGTTATTGCCAGAAACTTTTAACCTCCCCCTCCTCCCCTCCCCACCCAGAAGCTTTGTAGAGAGGATGGAGTGTAATATGGAGCTTTACATGATCTCATGGGATTCATGGGGGCTACTACAGAGCCTCCGTACAAATCCGGTTGCTAACATTTCTATCGTATTGTGACATGACTCACGACTGTTTCTTAGAAATTGGGGGATGGGGAAAAAGGAGAAAATTCTTTAATAAAAAGACACCAGGTACAAAGCAACGTTTTACTTTTGTTGTGGTAAAAAAAAAGTCACATTTTACAGATAAAATGTAGAACCCTGAAATACTGACACATTCTCTTATCGTGCACAATGCTGAGGTTCTCTTACGAATCACTTTAAAACTGCAATTAAAAATGTACAAAAAAAGAAAAGAAAAAAATCAACCCACAAAGCTTCTAAAAAAGGAACCCGCAGGCACTTCCTCTTGTGGAATGTTTAAAAAGTTAGCCTACTAAAGAAAACAGTCGACTTCTTGTGAAGGTTTTGGAGAAATATGTATCAGTTCATTTATTTGGGTATTCAGTAATATCCTTGGTGATAATGCTGACTCCATGGCTTCTGACCCCAGAATTGCTGCAATAAATGGATAAATAGTTACTTTTAACCTGTGATCACATAATGGTTACATTTCTTACAGAAAAACAGTGTTTAACAAACATCTAGCTCTCCTTCAACTTCAGAAGATTAAAGTCCTCTCAAAGAGCAGCAAGTTCCTTGACAACTGAAGGCAGTGAAGTTCACTTCACAGTAGTAATGTGAAGCCAAACACCACATACCACTAAGACCGATAAGCCATAGCTGATATTTGATACATCAAGACCATCAAGCCAGATTAAGTTTTGCACAGAACACTATTTATAGTGATATTACTTAGCATTAAAGATTTTGCTATCCAGTTTTGGTTACACGTCTAATTATTTCAGGCAGCATTTTCAAACATTCAAGTTAACAATTAGTGAAAAGGTTAAAGTTATTACTACTTACACCCTGCTGCCACTGGTTGTAGCCCTGAGATTGGTTTTTGTAGCCACGATTATTTCCCCTTCCTCTGAAGTTCTGCAAGAGGACAACAGTTTTTAACTACTTTGTTTACATGGATTTTTCAGAAGTGTACTATACCAATCTATTACCACCAGAACATCACATACCATATAGCAGCTTTCAAATACAAGGTACCAGGCTTAGATTAAAAAAAAAAAACCAACCCAAACCCACAAAAACCAACAAACCACAAAAAACCTCCCCGAAACACTCTGGAATACCAAAAGTCACCCCCTCCCAGCAACTGCTTCTTAAACATGAGGCAGGAACCTCAGAATGAGTAAGCCAGCTCAAACTGTTGCTGCCAGTGGTCTGGAAAGCGGGCTAATCCAGTTTTGACTCACCCTACTTCCAGCTGCTAAACTGCACCAGGACAACTAAAAATACAGGAGCTTGCCTATTTTTAGTTAGGAAAGGCTGTAGTTGTGACAAGGATGCGTTATCTGATCAGACAAAAGGATATGGGCCATGCAACTGAAAATAGAAGAGCTAGTCCACAAAACTTCAAATAAATGTTATGGTACAAAAAAGCGACATTGATGCTAGTAGATAAAATGTTACATTTCCCCTGTTTGTCAGTACTAGACAAACCTGAGCCATGTTTATTAGCTTGGGCTCCATCTGCTGGCTCTTCAGTAATCCAAATTATGTTTTCAAATACTTGGCTAGTATGACTTTACCAGTTGAGTATGATACCAGACACCAAAACAAAGACTCTCTCCAGACCTAATTCCAGAAAGTTCCCTAAATGCCTGATAAAGATATACCTTGACCCAAACAATGGCTACTACTATCGGGAAGAAAAAAGAAAATTAAAAAAAGAAAAATCAAACATGAGCTTTTACACACACCCTAAAAATCTTTAACAGGAGAAAAAAAAAATCTTAACATGGAACACCCACATCAGCACCAGAACTTCTGACACAACGTTCAGCGCTCTGGGCACATACACTGAACTAGAAAGCTAGGCCTTTTAGTGCGCGATTAGTGTAGTACCACAACCAAGTCTGTGGCTATTCACAGCCACCAAATCTTTCACACATCACCCCAAGTACTGTAGTTCAATTAATAAATCCCCCCCAAAAGCATCACCTGG